AGACAATGGTTTAGACTTTTCACTTGGCTATTTCTGGGTAGAGAGATTATAGAAATAAATCTAAATGTAAGTCTTTCCTTTTAATCTCACTCCAGTCTATCCTGCACTTCTAGAAATGGGACCTTTTGTTGTATTAAGGTTAAGGGTATGTAGGATTAATTATGAGTCAATCTCCAGTTTAATATCTTACTGTAAAGTTTTTTATGTGCCCTCCTTTCCACCAGTCTGGGAAGCTACAGAGGTAAACCACTTGTGAAGTGAGCAGTCTGATAGAGATTATCAATTCACATGTTAAAAATGTCAAGGGTTGGCCAGGTGTGGTGGTATAAACCTGTAATCCCAGAAACTCCACAGGCTGAAAAAAGAGAACTGCAAATTCAAGGCCAGCCTCAGGAATTTAGCAAGGTCCAAAGAAACTTGGTGAGACCCTGTCTCGAAATAAAAAATGAAACAAATTTTTTTTTTTTTTAATTAAAAGGGCTGTAATCCCAGCAGCTCAGAAGGCTGAGGTAGGATGGTTGCAAGTTCAAAGCCAGCCTCACCATTTTAGGCCGTAAATGACTTATGAAGACCCTGTTTCAAGATAAAATACAAAAAGGGCTGCAGCAGGGGATGGGGAGATAGCTCAGTTGCACACCCGAGGCCATGGGTTCAATTCCCAACACCACAAAAATGAATAAATAGATAGATCGATAGATAAATGGCAGAAGTGATATTTAAAGGGGGGGCTGGGATTGTGTCTCAGTGGTTTATTTATTTATTTATTTATTTTCAGTGGTTTAGAGACAGGATCTCTCCAAGTTGCTCAGGGTCTGGATAAGTTGCTGAGTCGGAGCCGCTGGGATTACAGGATGGTGCACAAACTGGAAGGTACTTGGCTCTTGGATCCAGAGTTGTAGAAATCAACACTAAATCTAGAAGGAACTTAAGTGCAGGCAAGACTTTGATTAGGAACTTCTGCTCCAGCCAGGAGGGAGTCATGCACTGACAGGGACGGTGTCAGTCTGGCTCAAGCAAATGACAAAGAGGTAAAGCTTTTATAGCGTCTTCTGGATGGATAGGAACTTGGTCTCCTGAAGTAGCAGTGGGACTTCAGTTGTGCCTGCACTTTTCTTTTCTTCTTGTGGTACCAGGAATTGAATCCAGGGCCTCACACATGTTAGGCAAGCCCTCTACCACTGAGCTATGCCCCCACCCATACTTCTACTTTTCCTTATCATGCTTCTCTGCACAAGTTGAATGTCTCATTACCATCCCACGCCTTCAGCTAGGAGAGTGGGTTTTACTATGCTAATAAAGGTCACTGGGTTACTTCACTGTCTACCATGTTTTTGCCCCTCAYCACTTGGAGTTGCCCTTATCATCTGGGAAAGTGTCTGATAATAATTATTTCCAGAATAGTGCAGACTGCTTTGTCTGGCTTTAGTTGGCAGTTCTGATGACCACATAGTCTCAGAAGACTGAGCTGACTTTCCCAGCCTCCCACTTCCTGGCCTGTTATCTCACTCCCATAGCCTTGAAGACTAGTCCACCTTTTAACTCCCATCTTTCCAACATGGCTGCTAACCTCAGAAAACTGAGAGCTCCGCTGATTTATTTTGCCTGAGAGGTGTTCTTCCTTTAATCCCAGAGGGGTCCTGTTTTTCCAATGGGTGGTGGTGGCAGGGTGTGTTCCTGATTGTTTCAGCACCACCTGAAAAAAAGAAAAGAAAAGGTGGTCTCTGCCACACCCTCTTCCTTTATAAACACTGAAGTCATTTACATCTCAATATTTTGGCTGTGTGAGTGTGTGTGTGTGTGTGAGGTGTGTGTGTGTGTGTGTGTGTGTGTGAAATAGTGATTGAATTTAGGAACCTAGGGCTTCGAGATATTTTGCATTTGAGTATATTCTTTCTCAAAGAATTTATATCTACTTTTCCTAATAAACCATAAACCTACAGAACAAAAATACTCCAGCTCAGATCCTTCACCATCTCCAGCACAGTATCAGGCAGTCAGTTTCACTGGAGGAGTTCCTGGAGAGGGGGACCTCGCTCATACAAGAAGGGTCTTTGGCAAAAGGACAGAAAAGAATTTCAGCACACTCCAGTCAGATTCATGTAGGAAAGCAGAGACACATTCAGTGGCCAATGTGGGTTATCTCGAGGTAGAGACACCTTTTGGAGCAAAGTAAGAAATACACATTCAAGAGATAATGCCAGCCATCTTGAGAGTAAGAGACAATAACCCCCTTGGTATGGGGTGTTACTACTTGCAGAGGGATAGTAGTAGGGAGAATTACACAACTTCCCACCAGTTTGCCCAGGCCTGGGATATTGCCCTCATTTTACTTCCTGCCAGCAAGAACAAGGGTCAAGGGCTCAGGTCAAGGGCACAAGGTAGGAATAAGGACCTAGTTGCTCACAAATGCTTGTTTTGCATTTCAAAGTTTCATAAGCATTTCCTACCTGGGGGCTTCTCTTTTGAGACTTAGTTCTCCTTATTCTGTATCCTCAAATTCCCAGGGAAAACTTGAATGTAGCAGACATTTACTGAGCCAATCATGGGAATCCTCTCTTCAGGGACCAAGAGCTATGAACAGGGCTTCTGTCCAAATCTTGCTAAACTGGTGGGCCTCCTTCATCCTCTTCATCACCCCCTGCCCATCCTCCAAAACTAAATGAGAAGCAACTTTAAGAAGTCAGTTTCTGCTTCCCAGGCCTCCACTGGACAAATAGAAATCCTTCTGATCACACTAGCCCCAGGAGAGAAAAAAGAATACTCTGGAAAAAAGGGCTTTTTTTTTTTTTTTTTTTTTGGATCAGGGGCACTCAACCACTGAGCCACATCCCCAGCTCTTTTTTGAGACAGGGTCTCACAATTTAGGGACACACTAAATTGCTGAGGTTGGCTTTGAACTTGCAATCTTCCTGCCTCAATCTCCTGAGCTGCTRGGATTACAGGTGTGAGCCACAGGGCCAGGCATAAAAGGACCTTTAAAACAAGTTTTGCTCAACTTCTTAGCTAACTGCTAACCCCAATACTGGGCATCCTCTTCTTCTCTCAAAGTAAGGGAGTAATGGTTAGTAGAGCTTATATTTGCAAGGTCCAGTACTGTGTACTGTGCAGGCATGTAAGTGAACTAAAGATTTTCCCATACATTCTTTCAAGAATTTACAACGGACAAAACAGATCAATCCTCAGCTACTGAGAATACAAAGTAGAATGGTTCAAGTGTTGCAATGTTAGCAGATGGAGAAAGCACTATGGGAGAACAGATGGGGAGAGATTAATTCCAACTGGTGAAAATTCAGAAGATGTAGATTTGGATTTACACCTTGTAGGATGGGTAATAAAAATGGTAAGAGAGAGACTTCCTACCTTACATGCATTAGCTCCTCTAGAATTCAGGAAAGGTCAAATGGGGAGTACTCTCTTTTTTTTTTTTTTTTTAAGGCCAAGCCCTTTATTTTATTTACTTATGTGGTGCTGAGGATTGAACCCAGTGCCCCATGCATGCAAGGCGAGCACTCTACCACTGAGCCACAATCCCAGCCCAGGGAAGTACTCTTATTGTCAGGTCGGTGACATGACTTAGAACAAAGCAGCCAGCGGGAAAGAAACATCAATCAGGCGCCCACAGAAACCCCTGCCAATCAGCGGGATCTCCTGACTAACGCCTGTCAATCAGCAGGACCCCCTGGCCAATCCTGGAGTTCAGCCAGCCCCCCTGATCAACTCTAATGGGACAAGGGACTCTTAAAAACACCTTTTCCTGTCCCAAGCCCTTCCCTTCCTGCTGTAAGCCCCTTAAAGGTCCAGTCCGGTCAAGCTCCCACGCGGTTTCTCCTTAGACCCTTCCCCTGTCCACTCTGTCGGTCTGATCCACTTCCACCAGGGAGTGATATCTCAAATAAAGCCTCATTGAGTGGCCTTTTAAAATCTGCCTACTTTGCTTGCTGCACACCTTGCCTGATCTTACACTTATTAGTCCTATTTTACATTGAAGAAACTGAGGCACGGGGAGAGTGAACTATTTGTTTAGTGTCCAGCCAAGGAAGCAGTGGAGGATGCACATAGAGGCACCTGTAAACCAGGTGTTTGGAGCACTCTGCTAAAGGAGCAAAGGATATCAAAAGGGAGGGCCTTCAATAGTGAAGGTTTCATGAGGCTGTGTGAGTGATACTGCTTGATCCCAATGGTAGTTTGGAATTCATGTGTCAAATTCCCGACCTTATGTCTATTTCGTCTGACCTCATCCTATTTGACAGGCGTTATTATCCTCATTTACAGATAAGYGAACTGAAGAACAGAGTTAAATAACTCATCCAAGATCACACCACTGCTAGTGGTGGGGATGGAATGTGAATTCAGTGAGCCTACCCTTAGCACACTGTGCCAGCCAAGTGTCCTCACGAAGGAAAGCCCTTTGCAAGCCGCCAGAAGCTTCAAAGCTGCCCAGTTACTTTGCCCCCTGTCTACGCAATCTGTCCCTTCCACCCACTTACTCTGGCCCCACCACTCCTACCCAAAGCCTTCAGTGATGGTGGCCCACTACATGGCCAAAGGTCGCCCAGGACCATCGGCTGCCCAGAACAACATCGGTTCCCACAAAGCTTTGTGCCTCCCCACCCCRGGCAAAAAGAGGCCTTGAGCCCAGAGCCCCGCCCCGCGCGGCCCCTCCCACGGGCGCGGGCCCGGGAGGCCGTGGGCGTGTCCCCAGCGGCGGCGCCCATGGCGCGGGGCGGGGTCTGACCTCACGGAGCTGCGGGCCGGCTAGGGGTGCAGGTGGCTCCTCCTTTCCCTCTCTGGAGTGCTGGCGGAGCTGGCTGGGAGGGAGAGCCTTTGTGCCGGGCTGGGGGAGCCCGCGACGGCTGCTGCCCKCCCGGGCCCATTGTTTCACTTCTTTATCTCTTCTGGGCAGGTGCCCGCGGCGCGCWGGGCTCGCACGTGTTGCCGCGGCGGCTGTAGCACTGAGAGCAGCGGACCCCGGTAGGGGTGTCCCCGGGCGCGCGGCGGAGATGAAGCTCTTGAAGCAGTGGTGGTCAACCGGCGGCGGCCTCCTACACCTCACCATGCTACTGAGCTTGGCAGGGCTCCGCGTAGATCTGGACCTGTACCTGCTGCCGCCGCCGCCCACCCTACTCCAGGATGAGCTACTGCTTCTAGGCGGTCCGACCCGCTCTGCCTCTGCGCTCAGCCCCTTTCCAGCCTCCGGTGGGTGGGGGCGCACCAGCCTGCTTCATCCCAAGGGCCGGGAGCTGGACCCTGCTGCGTCACTCGAGGGCCAGCTGCTCCGGGAGGTGCKCGCACTCGGGGTCCCCTTCATTCCCCACACTCGGGTTGACGCGTGGTTGGTGCACAGCGTGGCTGCCGGGGACGCGGCTGGGACCCATGGGCTACTTGGTGCCGCCGCCTCGTCGGGTGCGGGTGTGGACGGCGGCAGCCAGGCAGCGCCGGGAGGCGGCGGGGGCCCCCGAGCGGGTCGCAGTAGCCCTTTGGCCGCCGAGGAGGAGGAGGAGAAGGCACCCGTGGAACCGACGGMGCAGGTGCCGGACGCTGGCGGACGCGCGAGCCAGGTAACCTTAGAGAAGAACGCGAGCGAGTGCGGCGTCTACAACGCTCGGGGCTGAGGAATTGGCCATGAGCCCTCGAGGCTTGTGGTGGAGCTAGGCTGCGGGGCTGTCAGAGTTAGTTGGGGGTGGGGAGAGGAAGAAGGAATGGGATTAGATTTTTTGCTCACTCTTTTGGTTCAGTACCTCGCGTGCATGGGAATGTCTTTCCCTGGTACCTGGGACTAGAGGGTAATGGAAGTGGTCTTGATCTCTATGAGGACGCGCGTTTCTCCTAAGAACCACGCTGCGGCTCACCATGAGTTTAACCCGATGGTTGTCCGTGTGTGCGTCTTCCCGGGAGTAAGGAGCCGAGTCAGTCTGCACTCCAAGGCCAGCCAGCAGCCGGTCCCTCAGCGACCTAACCATCCACCTCGCCCAATTATTAACATACCCATTATTAGCATACAGATAACAGGTACCCTGACAGTCGCTTGTGACCAACATTGTCCCTTTGGTTTATTGGTACAGCTTATTGGTTTATTGGTGCAGCTTAGCTTTTTTCTTTTAAACAAAATTCACCAAGTTCTGTAGATTGAAATATCTGGTGCTGCCCAACACTAGACCTCCTTATCCATAGTTCCTACCAGCGGCTTTTTAAATTCCTTCTTGGCCCAAATCTTAGTGTAAACTGGTATGGATCAACAAGTGTTCCTTGGGATATTTTGTGTATGTGTGTGTGTGTGTGTGTGTGCGCGCGCGCGCGCGCGCGTTTGTGTATGTGTAGTGGAGTCTTACGCAAAATGGAAATTGGGGCTAAACTGGTTTGTTTGCAGCACTTCAGAATCGCCCTGTTTGTGTAGGCAGTTGCCTGACGGGCTTCTCCACCTCTGAGAGAGGGGTCATTGTGCGAAGTTCTGGGTGATTCATTGTTATGCTGATTTGATCCCTTCCTCCTCAAGGCTACCGGAAATAAGGGGGATGGGGTTGGTGAGTCTTGGTGGGCTCCTGTCTTTTAGAAAAGTTGAAGGTTCTTCCTGCAACACTAGCTCTTTCTTCAGATCTGGGGCCTGTGTGGCCTGTCTCACCTGAGGAGGACTACCTGTTGCCCTGCTACCTTACCTGGTTTTGTAATATATGGGATAGCCCACTGCTGGATGCTGCACTAGGTTATCACCCTGCCCCCCTCACAGCTGAAGACCAGCCTGTTTGCAACGTGTGCTGGAACGGGAGGGAGGAGGCTGTGTGCTCTTGAGGACCTACCTCCTAGGGAGGACCTGGACTTGCGTATGTGCATCAATTAGCTGTCTTAGCTGCCGGATGACTTAGTTCTGTTCAGTCTGAGTTTCCATGCTATGTCCCCTTTGTCAGCAATGCCTCTTGCTTAAGCCCTGTGAGGACCACAGGCAGGCATCCTATGTCTATTTATATTTATGGAAAACAGAAGTCCAATGAGTTAGGGGACTTGATTAAAGCCACACATTAATTAATGGCAGAGGTGGGGACCAGAACCTGAGTCTCCTGTCTCCTAAACTGGCTCATAAATTAAGCAATGGGCCCTGTACTCAGGCTGTCTGGACAAGCATACACCTGGGATGGGGTGACTCAGCTCCCCCCCCCCCCAGCTTGTCTCCTGCCCCCAGGAGAACTGCTCTCTGGTGCTGGGTTTTTAAAGAGATTTTAAATTCATAATGAAGACCATGACTTTGGGAAAAAAATGGTCTAGGGAAACAATACCAGTCTTTGCGCTTAGCTACCTGGTATTTATCACTTACTAGCTTCCCTCCCTCCCACAGGTTTTTTTTAATCACTCCAAGCCTCCATGTCTCCTAGGTCAAGAGGAGGATGTTGTGCTAGTTAAATGGGAAAAGCAYGTGTGAGGTGCCAATAAATGTGCCTGCCCCATAGGGTCGAAGTAGGAATTAAAATTTCATTCCATAGAAAGGGCTTAGTCCTGCATCTGTCTCAAGTACTTAATACATGTAAGCTACTGTTAACTTGGAAGAGGAATCATACTTTACCCCATAGGAACATTATAGGTGTTTTTTCTTTTTTGGTTTTTAATAGATAAGTCTAATGGCTTACAGTTGAGTTGCAGGACATTCTGGTTTTAGTGTTTATTTTTTCATAATTTTTGTACACGCAAAAAATATTTTGGAGTAGGGGATTTTCCAAGTAGGTGTCTAAAGATGTACTGCTTTGGTCTCACCTCTTAATGGGGCTAATCATTATCTGAAAACAAACTCCTGGAATTCCCCAGGCCCAACAAGCTTCCCTTCATAACCACAGCCATTCACTACAACCAGTGAATATGTCCTTCAAAGTTATGCACAGTTTCCAAGACATGAACAGCTTTGTAGAGTAGGATGTTTGAGCATATTTATTTGTGGTTTGTCTGTGACAGTGACCTCTATCACAGGACAGACAGGTCCCATTGGGGACCTTTCTATTTACTGACTTTTGGGCTGCTTTCTTCAAGTCACAGAAATCTAATACAGTTAGTATTTAATGCTAAGAGTAAACGGAAAAGATAAAAGTTCCTTGATTGTTAAAGTAAAATTTGCTTTCATGTCAAAATCAATAATCACTAATGCCTGAGATGAAAAACAGATATTTGCCTGTTTTTAACTTACAGTCATGATACAGAAATAGTCTTATAATTACATTGTAGCTCAACAAAATTTTACAGTAAGCTTCTCATTTTGCTTACTAACAGACATTGTAAAGTGTTTATGGTCTTGCATGGGAAAGGAAGGCACAAGTTACTGTATTAATGTCATATGGCTGCTGTAGCAAAATGCCACACTTAAATAGAAATTTACTGTCTTACAGTTTAGGAGGCAAGAAATCCTCRAAGTGTTGGCAGCATTGGTTCCTTCTGAGGCCTATGAAGGAGAATCTGCTCACAGATCCCTCCTGCTGTGGGGTGGCTTGCTGGTGATCTTTGGCATTTCTTGGCTTTAGCAGCATCACCTCAATGCCTGCCTTCATCTTCACTGAGTTCTCCCTGTGGGTTTATCTGTGTCCAGGTGTCCCTTTTTATAGGAACATCATTCATATTGGGTAAGGATCCACCCTGACATCTTAATTTATCTAGTCACACTGGCAGTGACCCAATTTCCATTCTAAAGTTCTAGGAGTTCTGACTTCAGCATAGGAGGGACACAGTTCAACCCATGACAGTCACCATTGCCCTTCTGTCAACTCTTGGGGGTGTTCAGCTTGCTTAGGCTCTAGCCATTAAAAGCTAAGTCACCTGTTTCTGGGAGCRACTGGTCTGTGTGTAGAACCATCTGTGTGTAGGACTTGGGACAAGCTCTTGAGGAAGTTGGCTTTTGCTGACTTGATGTGCAAACCTGGGAACCTTAGTTCAAACCGTCTTTTTCTACTCAAACTTTGACCTCTATTGGCAGGTTACAGAGAAATATTTTATAACAACTTTTGAATCATTCCCCTCCTCACCATCTCCCAGGCTTCTGTGTTCAGGCAGTGGGAAATCAGCGTGCAGAGCCATGGTCCGGGGGGTCATGGGTACTGACACTGAAGTCTGGCCAGCCAGGGTGATCTCAGCTCTACCATTGATAATACCTTGTGTGTGTGTGTGTGTGTGTGTGTGTGTGTGTGTGTGTGTGTGCGCGCACGCGCGCTTACATGTGCTCTGGATTGAGCCCAGAAGTGCTTTACCACTGATATACTTCCTCAGCCCTTTCTATTTTTTATTTTGAGCCAAGGTCTTCCTAATTGCTTAGGGTCTTGCTAAGTTGTTGAGGCTGACCTTGAAYTTGCAATTCTCCTTAGCTTTGCTGGGATTACAGGTGTGCCCCATCACTCTTATCTCTCTGAGTTTTTGATAAGAGTACCTGGGGGAGTTGTTGGAAGATCAAAAGAGATAGTGCAGGTCAAGTGGGCAGGGTTGGTATGTAGTAGACTTTCAATATTAACTATTTTGCAGGGCTGGGGATGTGGCTCAAGCGGTAGCGCGCTCGCCTGGCCATGCGTGCGGCCCAGGTTCGATCCTCAGCACCACATACAAATGAAGATGTTGTGTCCACTGAAAACTGAAAAATAAATATTAAAAAATTCTCTCTCTGTGTTAAAAAAAATGAAAAAAAAAACCTATTTTTGAACTGAGAGCTCTATAATAACCTCTCCCCAGCTTAGTCCCGATCATTCTATTGCCAGGTGCAGATTTCTAAAGCACACCTGGGTGCATCTCCCCACTTCATTTGGGGAGCCGCCACTAGTTTCCTATCACCTACTAATTCTATATATTGTCATTCACGGCTCCCAAGTGGCCCATTAACCCATTCCCCACCTGCCCTTGTTGAACTTGTTACCCTGGTGCTCTGCCTGTAGCCTACTTTCTTGCTCAGACCTTTTCTCCCTCCACTCCCCATCCCCATGCTACCTCCTAACTGTTCCCCTTGCCTAGAGTTCCTGCCTTTCATTCCTGCTATGCTTTCACTGTTAAATTCTCAGACTGTTCCTGTTCTTCCTTGAGCTCCATTGTACTCTGGAACCTTTTTTTGTAAGATTTGGCACCCTCTACTTTGAACTGTGGTGTCTTGAGTGTGGAAACTGGATCTTTACTTTCCCTGCAGTAGCACCCAGGGCCAGGGTTCAGAGCAGAGGACAGTACAGTTAGTGTCTGTTGCCTACTTATTGTCCAGGGTTGCACAGGAGCTTTACAGCCCTTCCAAGGTTGTCACAACCCTGAATGTGCTGCCTTGGGTCCTTCGGGGCCAGAGTTCCAACTAGAAAGTAGGTCAGACCTGAAATCCTGACCATTTAATGCCAACTACTTCAGTGGCTGGAGCAGAGGAGGGCAGACTGTCAGGTTGGCATTATAATGAATCAGGTGGTGAAACYTGGGATTGCCTGAAGTTGTAGAGCACAGCAGTGACCTTGCTGGAATAGAGCAGGGCACTGTTCCTAAGCACGGAGTAAACCACACCTCCCACCCACTGCAAACTGCAAAACAATAGCTGCTCCCTTTCATGGCAGCCTTGTGAGAGGGATAGTTCTTC